GACACTTTTCTCTGTTGTTGAAATGTGTCAAACTTGGAGCATCCAGTTGGACCTCAAATTCATTGCTTTCTGTCATCTAACCTTTGGATCCTCATTTCCCTCTTGGCTTCACAGTATCTCTTGGTTTATCACATAATGGAGTGTTCAGCTTTTTAACCTATTTCCAAAGAAACTTCCTCTAGTTGTAGAGAGATGATGAAGTGAGACACAGTGTCCCATTTTTTTTTCTCCTGAGTGATAATAAACATCATATGCAAATTTATTTCAGTTTTCATTCCAAAAATTAGTTGATTTTTAAGGAGATGCTACTTTTATATGAATTTGGGTTTGAAAACCTTAGTAAAATTGTATTATATGACCATTTCCATTACCTAGAAATAATAGCTAGTACAAATAAAATGCAAGCTACTATTTCAGGTGCTTTTCATATATTGATTTCTCAGAAATCTTGTAAAGTAGGTAGTATTGTTCTTTCCATGTGAATTGTCAAGAAGCTACAGTTGAGTAATTTTGTCATGGCCACATTATTGGTAATGGGTGATCAGAAAGCCAGAACCACTGCTGTTGACTTGATTCTGACTCTTAAAATTGGGAATCTTACTGAAAATAGTACTCAAATGCTACATGACTCTGCTCCTGTTCTAAATGAGTGATGGTAAAATACTACCTTTTTAAAATAACACAGCATATAAAACAACAAACTCAGACCCTTTTTCTTTGAACTTTCATGTTCATTCAACAAAAAGTACCTTCTCTATGCCAGGCCCTATGCCTGGTTCAGGTATAGCTCTTAGACTAAAGAAGGGCTACCTTGCTGAAAAGTCCCTTTTTAAACAATAATGTTTAGGGGTTTTTAAAAAATGTCTTTCTATTAATTAAGACTTGATGCAACACATACCACAAGTGGTTGATCCTATGACGTGATCACTACTATCCTGGGCCACCTTCATCATCTCTGATATACTTGAGCCATTGTTACAGTCACTTTGTCAGTCCGTCTCATTTTGGGGCGCCCTCTCTTTGGCTGACCCTCCACCTTTACAAAGAAAATGTCCTTTTCCCAGGGAGCCCTGTGGCCTAGTGGCAAGAAGCTGCACTGCAATCCCAAAGGTACATGGTTCGAATCGACCAGATGCTCTGCTGGAGAAGAAGGGGCAATCTCCTCCTGTACCAGTTAGATCCCATTTGACAGATATAATAATGTTGTTGTTGTTGTTATGTGCCGTCAAGTTGCTTGCGACTCATAGCGACCCTGTGTACAACAGCCCTAAACCCTTCTCTATCCTGTGCCAATCTCACTGCCTCTGACACACCCATCCCGATTACCCCAGTCACTGAATCAGGCCACCTCATAGAGGGTCTTCCCCTCTTGCACTGTCCCTCCACCCTCCCAAGCATGATGTTCCTCTCCAAGGACCTGTCCCTCCTTACAACAAGTCCAAAGTATGTCAGGCGAATCCTTGCCTCCAAGGAGCAGCCTGGTTTAACCCTGTCCAGAATGAATCTTTTCTTGGCAGTCCATGGTACATTCAATACCCTTCTCCAGCACCACAGCTCAAAGGCATCAATTCTCCCTCTATCCTCCCTAGTCATTGTCCAACTTTCTGATGCATAACAAGTGATTGCAAAGACCATAGCCTGTATCAGACGCACCTTAGTCTCCAGAGAGACACCGTTGTTCTTCAGTACCCTGGAGAGGTCCCTAATAACAGACTTTCCCATTGCAATACATTTTTTTTATTTCCTGGCTACTGGTGCCAAGAGTGTTGACCATGGAACCAAGCAGACTAAAATTATGAACAATCTCAATCTCTTCACTATTCAACCTGATGCTGCCAGTTGGTCCAGTGGTGAGAATCTTTGTCTTCTTGACATTGAACCTCAGTCCATACTGAAGGCTGCAGTCCTTGACCCTCTCCAGCAAGCATTTCAGGTCCTCCTCAGTTTCATCAAGCAGGGTTTTGTCATCTGCGTAACACAGATTGTTGATATGTCCTATCTCCATACCTTTTTAACCTGTATGCAGAACCAGTTATCCGAGAGGCTGGGCTCTATGAGGAGAATTGTGGCATCAGGATTGGTGGAGGATATAAGAATAATATATAAAAATAATAATTTTTTAAAAAAAGATGTCCCGGCAAGAAGCTGCACTGCAATCCCAGAGTTACGTGGTTTGAATCCACCAGGTGCTCTGCTGGAGAAGGAGGGACAGTCTCCTCCTGTACCAGTCAGATCTGATTTTACAGTACACACACACACAAAAATAATAAAATTTTAAAAAAAAGTAAAAAATAAAAGATGTCCCTTTCCAAGGACTCCCTTCCTAGCGACCAAAATAAGTGAGACAACATTTCACCATCCTTGCAACCAAAGATCACTCTGGCTATACTTTTCCCAAGACCAATTTATTTATTCTTTTGATAGTCCATAGGATATTCAGTACTCTTCTTTAACACCACAACTCAAAAGCCATTGAAGATTCTTCTGTCATCCTTAGTCATTAATTGTCCAGCTTTCAGGTGCATAGCAAGTAATTAAAAAGACTGTCATTTGCATCAGGTGCACCTTAGTCTTTAAACTGACTTCACTGCTCCTTAACACCTTGGAGAAGTCCTTGATAGCATATATCCCTAATGATACATGCCGTTTGATTTACTGACTGCTAGTACACTCTATGTGGATCCAAGCAAAATGAAATTGTTGACAACTCCAGTCTTTTGTTCTCTGTCATGATGTTTTCTATTAACCCAGTGGTGAGGATTTTTGTCTTCTGGAGGTTGAGATGTAATCCATATAGAAAGCTGTAGTCTTTGATCTTCAGTGTTTCAAGTCTTCACTCTCAGCAAACAGGGTTTTTGCATCCACATAATGCAGGATGTTGATGCGTCTTCTGTGACCCTGATGGCTCACTCCTCTTCATTAAGTCCAGCTTCTCAAATAGATTGACTAGGTATGGAGAAAGGATACAACCCTGATGCACATCATTCTTAATTTGAAAACATGTAGAGTTCTCCTGTGTGGTTTGCACAGCAGCCTCTTGGTTGTGGTAGACATTTTGCATAAACACAGTTAAGTGTTCTGGGATGCCCATTCTTCTCATTGTTAGCCATAATTTGTTAAGATCCACACAGTCAAATGCTTTTGCATAATCAATAGAACAAAAATAGACATCCCTCTGGTATTCTCTGCTTTCAGTCAAGATCTATTTGACATCATTAGTATATCCTTGGTGCCATGGTTTCTTCTAAATCCAGCCTGAATTTCTGGCAAATCTCTGTCAGTGTACTTTTCTAGCTTTTTAAATAATCTTTACAAGATTTTACTTGCATGCAATAATAATGATACTGTTCAATAGTTTCCACATTCTGTTGGAGTACATGTTTTTGGGAATGGTAAAAAATAGGGATCTTTTCTAGTTAGCTAGGCAAGTAACTGTCCTCTAAATTTCTTCACACAGCCTGGTGAGCATGCCAAGGGCTGCATCCATTTATTGAAACATATCAATTGATACTCCACTGATTCCTGGGACCATGTTTTTGGCTAATGCCTTTACTGCAGCTTGAACTTCTTTCTTCATTACCATTGGTTCCTGATTATATGCTACTTTCTGAAATGGTTATGTGTCTACCTTTTTTTTTTTTTTTAAGTTACTTGGTGTATTCCTTTCATCATCTTTTGCGGCTTCCTAAATAATCAAGATTTTACCTATGACATCCGTTAGTATTGCTATTCAAGGCTTGAATTTGTTTTTCAGTTCTTTCAGCTTGAGAAATACTGAGCAAGTCCTTCCCTTTTTTGTTTTCTCACTCCAGCTCTTTGCACATTTCATTATATACTTTGCCTTGTCACCTTGAATTGCTCTTTGAAATCTTTTTATCTCTTTTACATTAGTAATCTTCCCTTCTTAATATTCAAATTTCTCCCTTATAGTGACCTTTTGCTTTCCTCATGGATGATATCCTCTCCATCTGGTCTTCAATCATTATTAGTGTTCACTGCCTATTCATGAAATGATCTAATTCAATTGGGATAGGTTGAAGAATATATTTTTGTTCTTGTGAACTTAATTTTTCTTCAGCTTCAGTTTGAACTTGCACATAAGTAATTGATGGGACTGTTCTATAGTCAGTCCTTGGCCTAGCTTTGACCACTGGTATTGAGCTTTTCCCATGATTCTTCCCACAGATATAGTCAATCTGGTTCCTTTGCAGTCTGTCAGATGAAGTCCATGTGTATAGTCTGTGCTTGTGTTGTTTAAAAAGATATTTGCAATGAATGTTATGTACCATTGAGTGGGAATTGACCTAGAGCTTAAATCCTATGGGTTTTCAGAGGCAGTAAATCACAGGGAAGGAGATTTGAACTGCATGTCTGTGGGTCGGCAGTGCATTACCATTCAACCACAAAAATGCCTTTGCAATGAACAGGTGGCTTTGCATAGCACATTTCTTAGTTCTTGATTTTGAACTTTGAAGTTCAGAGTTCAGACGTCTATGATCCTTCTTGGTGGCTGCCCCTCTTGCTCCATTATAAGTCTCACATTGTGTCTGTCTGCTATAATATAGGGGCATCTCTGTGACGAATCTATTTTTGTAACTGTAGTAGTTAGGAAATAACCTATCATGCTGTGAGCTCCTTAACTTTAGATTGCTTAATGGAAAGGCTTTATGTTCATTACGTTACATCCACGGTGGTGGTGGTGGTTGTGTGCCATCAAGTTGGCACTGACCCATAGCTGACACTTCTGAAGGTTTTCAGAGACAGTAAATCGCACAAGAGGAGATTGTCTATCTTTCAAGTTTCAATAATTATGATACAGAACATTTTAATAAACGGGGTGGGTAATGTTTTAAATCATATTAGGGCAATTTCCAAGCATTCTTTTAGTATTTCAGATGCTTAATATGTAAAAATGTTTGTTGCTTTGAGAGAAATTTTCTTTTAAAAAAATAAATTGGACAGAACGTTTTAGTAATCATTTTGTCTGTCCTTTTTCGTAGGGAAGCAGCACGAGAGTGTCGTAGAAAGAAGAAAGAATACGTGAAGTGTTTAGAAAACAGAGTGGCAGTGCTTGAAAACCAAAACAAGACACTGATTGAGGAGCTCAAAGCACTTAAGGACCTTTACTGCCACAAATCTGATTAATTTGGGATTTATTTTCACCATTTCAGGTGGAAAAAGGACTTGGTTTGGCCACAACCAGAAAGACAAAAAGAAACATTTTATTTTCTAAACATTTCTTTTTTTTCTATGCGCAAAACTGCCTGAAAGCAACTACAGAATTTTATTCGTTTGTGCTTTTTTGCATTAAACTGTGAATGTTTCAACACCTGCCTCTTCTTCTCCCCTCAAGAAATCTTCAGCACCAGGCATCATGAAGGAACTCCAGCTTTTCAACCTCCACCTCTGCCGCAAGAAGTAACAATTTGTTTACTTACCAGTTTATGGGAGGAAATGAGGAAAAAGAAAACTTTAAAAATTATTTCAAGGTTTGTGCTGAGCTCCTTGGTAAGCCTGAGGGGCAGTCATGCAGCCTGTTGAGGTGAAGTGCTGCGTGGGCCACAGGCATAAAGGAAGTAAGGTGCAGTGAAGAAGTGTTGATTGCCAATTGACATGTTTTCACATTTTCGTTGTGAATTATGTACAATTATTAAGAAATAGACCCTCCTAAATTTTTATAAGGGTTTTGAAGAAATTGGGAATGAATTTGGAGTGCTTTCTGTATACAAATGTACTTGATTCTGACTGAAAACTTGTCCTTGGTCTTTAAAAATATACTGTACCAACTACAGCTCTTCCATGGGTCAGTTGTTGCTTCTTAATTCTGTATGTGTTCAACACTTTGAATACATTAAAAGAAGTGACCAACTGAACGTACCAGCATGATTATTTTAATTTTTAATTAAATCAGAAGACACAGAAGAACAAAGCTTTTTTGTTTTAGTTAGTACTAAATTCCTAATAAAAAGATGCTCATTATTAAGCCAATCCCTTGAATAATATAATAAGGTTTTTAAATAAACTATTTTTTTATCCTCATCTTCAAAAATAATTTATATTGTCACTCATTTAAAAGACATTTTAATTATAATTTTTTCCTTTGCACTTGCTTTGTACCCCACCACCAGGAAAGCCTTCCGGTTGTTAAATAAAGCCAAGTAATATATTTTGTTTATGAAATGTTATGGATTATAGAAAAGGCCTGATTTTAAATCGTTCCCACATTAGCATTAGCATAATACCTCAAGTGAATTTTTTTAAGTGAAAAATGTTATATGGAGTTCTAAAAAGTACAGTGTTATTTATATATGCAGGAGGAAAGACATTTTCTCTGGACATATTTAATGACTTCTGTACTGCAACATTTGGGTTGTCATTCACATTAAACTTTGTTTTTCTCTAAACAGTGTAGTTATGCTTCAGCTTTCCAATATAACCTTGTCAGGGCTACCTGTTTTAACTCTTCTTTGTAGCATACATTGTTTCCAGTACTATGATTATTACTCATTCACTAAGCCTGGTGAAGTCTAAAAGTTATGCTTTATAAGAAAAATATGAAGGTATACTTACAATATTGGAGACTAGCATAAGGGTTAATAAAAATCGCAATTTAGAAGAAAATTCTTTTCAGAGTCAAGAAATATGGAAAAGTAATGTTTCATATTGAGTTCTAGGCTTAAAGTGTAAAAATTTGTTACCATGTTAAGAGAATATGAAGATAAAAGTATTATTGAGTCCATTTGTAAAGTTAAGATTTTATTTATAAACTTACTCTTGTTTGTAACAAACGATTGTCTTTTTCCAAGGGTGAACAAAGTTTTATGAAAGAGCATCATTCTAAGAATTAAGTGAAAAGAAGGCTTTTAAATTAAGACTGTAAAGTTCGATGTGTATCCTGCTGAGCAAATGGGGAGAGATACAGCATAAAACTTATTTGTTTACCAGCACAGATCTCAAGTGAAGTCACAAATGTTTGCAAACTAGCATCTTCTCTTACTGAATCAAAATGTCTAATGGAACATTTTTAATGCCATGAGCTTTACAAATGAAAATGGCTTGGTATTTAGCAAGATTTATTCTCTATCCTAAAGTGGTGTGTATGTTTTTTAAAAATGAGGTCTTATATTTAATTAGATATTAAGTAACTGGGCCTCTTAATCCCTGTTAAATCAAAGTCATCACCTTCCCGGTGGACTGGTTAGATTTTAAGGACCTGGTCCTTTCTCTCTTGAGGATGATCGCACTGGTTTGAACTCAATTAATAATGAGGTGAGAAACACATTTTGTTGCTAAACCTGTTTTCAACCCTTGAATAGACTTGAAGATTTCAGTTTATACAAATAGAAGTCAAGTAACTTTTGTGCAGACTTTTTTTAAAAGATAATTGGGAAAAGGTGTTTGTTTTTTAAGCATGTAAGTTTGAGAAGCTTTATTAAGAAAATGACATTAAAAAGGAAAAAAAAAATCTTTTAGCCAAGAAGATATGTGGCCATGTTACCGGTAATAAATGTTTTTCTCTTCATATTGGCCAAAAGGGAATGAAAATGTCATCATAGGAATCTGTACATATGCTACTGATTTGCTCTAGAATATAGCAAGTTTGGTATCGCTCACTTTACAAATATAGAGCCATTTGGCACTTTTATCTATAGGACAGAATAATGAATAAAAAATGAAGTTGGGAGGGGTTTATTTTTGATATATTACTCTTGTGTTTTCAAGCTTTGATAGTGTTTAACTGAAAAGTGATTTAGAAAGGGCTAGATCCAATGTGTTCATATTATTAAAAAGTTGCTATCAGATACATTTTAAGTTTTCCAAACTCAAGTACCAAGTTGGCAACCATAATATTGTCATAGGTGCTCTTTCATTTAGATATTCTTGGGGAAAATGACATTTGTATAATGTATGTGTACATATATATATATATTTACACAGTATATAACCTGGAGCTCTGAGAGCTCAGAAGTCAGGAATGCTGAGTATTATAGTATATTGAGGTCAGATGAAATTTTACACTTTTTGTGTGTTCTATCGCATCCCTTTTGGTAGTTTCTTGGACTGCATTACTCCAGCACTCATGATTGATCTTGTAGTTCTCTTCCAAGTATTTTTATTTTTATTATTGTTTTCTTTCTTTGGCTTGATACTTTAAAATACATTACTAGTCACTTGAAAGCTTCCCCCAAAAGTATTTGGTTGTTATGCTTTGTCTCTGGCAGCTATAACAGTGGTGAGAACATTTTGAAGATAGCTTTTAAAAGGAACCACTGATTTCCAAAAACCATCCTGGGGGAGGAATTTTGGTGTTTAATTTGAGCAGGGATTGTGTCAGAAAATTAATTTTGGTGATAGGTCGGCATTAGTGCTAGTATCTGAAAGCACAATACCAGTCAGACAGCCTGTCCGATCAGAAGGCATGGGGGTGGTTATCTCTGTCTCTCAAGCCTCGTCCCTTTGGTCACTTTTGACAGTTTGGGATGATAGGTGGAATCATACAAAGGCTTAGGAAGGAACAAGTTTGTTGAAACCAGGATGCTTAATTTACTTACTTGATTGCTTCTTTTTTTTATGTCTTTAGAATCCTGTGTTCAGCTACAGTTAACTATTAGAATAAATCAGGCTCTCTTTTATTTTGCAGATCAGATGCCTGCTTTATTTTGCAGGAGTAAGTAAGGTTAATATTTTAAAGCTATAATTTCAAGTTAAGATGAGTTTTAGAAACAGTGGTTACACACCCTTTTATTTTCAACAGGCTTTATTTTGATTGCCTTTATAACCTTAAAATCTATTGGTGTATTGTTTCCCATTGACCTAATACAAAAGTTATATATTTATTTGGGTTATTTTTCATTATATTCTTTGTAAATGCTTGGTGTAACTTGCACTTTTAAAAATGACCCAGTTTGGGTCTTAGCAACTTGAGATTCCCTCACCAGTTAATTGTTACCTGACTGTGTCTTTCTCCTTTCTTCAAATCATGTAACTTTTTAAAGGAAACTTCATTGATTAAAATATTTAAGCACGTAAAGGCTAGCATTAGAAGTAGTTTTTAAACGTAGGATCTTAAATTAGACTTAATGAAAAGATTCACTTTAACCCTATTTCATTTTCATCATGGATAAAGATAGAAAAGTAATTCAAATGAATTCTTTCCAATTTTAAATGAACGTTCAGTTCTTTTCCCAACCTGAACACTGTCCATCTGACTCCACATGTTGCATGCTGACCAGAAGGCCGCCGATCTCCAGCAGTAATAATACATGAGCTGCTGTGGAGGCGAAAGGTGGGTAGGGTCTTGTTGAGATTTACAGCCTCAAACTCAGTAACTGTTTATTCGAACTGACTTGATGGCAGTGAATTTGAGCTTTGCTTTTAAAAGAAAAAAGAATTGGAAACCTAAACTAGTCCTAGCCACACAGTGGTTAGATACTTGGCTACTCACAAAAAGGTCAGTGGTTCAAACTCAACAACATCTGCTCATGAGGAAAAGATGTGGTAGTTTACTCCTATAAAGATTTCCAGTTTTAGAAACTGAGGTGGTTCTACTCTGTCCCTGTAGGGTCCCTATGAGTTAGAATCAACTTGGTGGCAACAAGCTTGTTACTATTGTTTTTAGTAGTATACCAGAATGACCATGCTTTTTCCAAAATAGTGAAATAGCGCTTAAAGCAGTTAATTGTCATCATGGAGACCACATGTAATAAGCATTGGATTAATTTTTTTTTCCATTTTAAATTGGCCTTGTTGACATCAAAGAAGTGCCGCCTACGTTGAACCGATTTCAGATGAAGGGGGCAGTGGGCTTAGTAGCCGGTAGGTGGAGAGTTGTGGGGCATGTGTTCACTTGGTTGGACAAAGCACAACTAGAACTTCTCACTGGGTGGCTTGGATCAATCTCAAGTACTGTTAGTGTTGCTAGTGCTGACTTTGAAAAATGGACTTCAGAGTGACCGTATGTACTAGGGAACAGGTTTCCTTAAGTTTCTCGACTCATTGGCTAGGAGAGGCACTAATTCTTGAGGGGTTTGAACATATCATGAAGCCGAGCCAGTATGGAAGAATTTCAAACAAATCAAACAGGGTGCTGAAGTTCCAGCTGTCTCATCTGCTTATGATACGTTCTTGTTGATCAGTGAATGTAGCTTAAGCCTTTGTATGGGCCCTCGGGGCGGATGAACTTTTAAGAGGGACCAGATAATGTTTGAATGGAGGGATTATATTTCAGGTGTTTTAGCTTGAAATTTATTTTTTAAAAAAAAAAGAAAAAATAATAAAAAAATTCTAAAGAAAGCCTGTGAAGCAAGTTGTTATTATAAACAGGCTGAGTTGTTTACCACAGAGAGTAAAATTGAGACCTATCTGCATTCTGGGACTGTGGTGTGGGTCCTAGCTGGGGTGGAACATTACATTTTGAATTATTCTCACCAGCAGGTAAAAGAATGAACAATCCTCAGGAAATGTCTTTGAAAAGGTAGAACAGTAAGAAATCCAAATTTTACCTACTTTATACAGACATTTAATACTTACAGCAAAAGCTTAGGCATTTCCAGGTTTCTGTCCAGCTGAGGACTGTCACAGAGATGAGAGAGCAAAATCTCCGACAGTTTAAAAATTGAGAGGCAAGGAGGAAAATCCCTGAAGTTAACGATCTAGGTTAGTTGGCCAGATGAAATTATTGTGTTTCAAAGGTTTTACATGTTTTTACCCAGTTGCCACTCCAATTTGCATATGTAGTAAAATTATTTATATTAAAAGTGGGAAATAATCTGTCAACTTTTTTTTTGTGCTACAGATTTATTAAAGGTGACAAAGAAGAGTGCTAGGCAGCAGTTCTCCACGTAAAGTCCCTGACTGTCCCTGACTGATCTGTCCACATGCCAGTTGTCATCCCCCCCCAAAAGGAATTCTTTCTAACCCAGATGTATCACTTAAAGCTTTTTAGAAACAAAATAATCAGGGACGTTTCTAGAGAGAAAAGTCTTCATTTTGGGGGTTTTTCCTTGAGGACTGGGGTAAAGAATACCTCTCACCAAAACTATCAGCACAAAACAGGGTATTGATTTTTAACTCTGATATTTCTATTGGAGTTGAATAATAAATAATTATCATAAGGGAAATACATTTCTAATAAAATTCCCTACATTCTAGAAACATCCCTGTTTTAATTTTTTATCTAAATCTTTTTGTGCTTTATCTGTGTAAAGAAAAAAATGTACTGAGTTTAAAGGCATTTTATTAACACTATGTACATATTAGCTGCTTTGTGTTCAGAATGGTAGCAATTGCTTTGTATATTAAAGTGATCCTTGTGAATTTGTGAAATATTGTCATAAAGTGCTTTTTTTCTTACTGTAATCTTTGTGGTATCAACTGTCGTAATGCCCTTTTTACACAAACATTTATGTGCAGTCACATAAACATGCTTTTAAAAACTTCTAAGTCTCTTTTTTGGGGATGGGATCTTTGTATTCTTATTTCAGCAGTGTTATGCCAGAAAATAGTGATCACAAGTAAAGTTGCAGAGCAACAGAAAA